TTAAACTTATAACAAATACAAATACATATCAGTTTTATGCATACAAGAGTTGAAATAGATCAAGTAACAAACGCAAAATATTTCATCAAGCAGTTTTTTCTCTAAAAGAGTATGCAATAGGAGTACTCTTGAACTCTAACAAAAAAAAATAGAGTTTTTAATTTAAAATTTTATTTATTTTAAAATTTAATTAATTTAATATAATATAATATTATAATTTTTATATAAAATTATTTAATATATTATTATAAATTTTATAACTTTTAAATATATATGTCATTCTACCATGTTTAATAAACATTTTTTTAAGTTTAAATTTGATCTAATTAATTAATTAAATATTTTAAAAAATTTAAATTAAATATATTATTCAAATAAATTGAATTAGACTAAACTTTAAAAAGGTTAAGATATAAACCTCTATCAAACTACTTGAAATATTTTTATCCCTATTTATGGGAGTAGATTTACACATAAATATGTTGAGATAAATTTAAAAAATTACTTGATTATTTCGTTTAATACTGTGAGATAGTTTCACAAGATAGAGAATCAAGGACTTCATTTAATATGTTTTCATCGTGGTATATATAATCATAAAGTAAATGGTTATGAAATGAAGAGTGAGATTGCTTAAAAGAAGGAAATCATAGTAATGAAAGTGGCGACCCATATTTCACATTTTGAGTGAGGGTCAAACCATTTCAAGAGACATAAGACAAAAGGAAAAATCTTATATGGATCATGAAAAAGGTTTGGAAGGAAAAAGGAAATTAAAATTAAAGTGGAAAAGTTAAATATTCCAAACTTTTGAATCAAAGGCCAATTTCTACCACCCATAATTAGAAGACAAATTGTGAAAAGTAGAAGAACGTTTCAATAATCCTAAATCAGAAGGAGGAAGTTTTGGATCCTCAAATTCAAGTTTGCTCTTTCTATATCTTTATTGTTCTATTGTTTTGAACTTTCCTAATCTAGTAAAAGATATTATTAAAATCATAATATTTATTTTTTAGCTTTGTTAGAACCTAGAATAGGTGGTACTAAAGCGTATCAAGTTATGTATTTGGGTTTAAGCTATAGGTTCTGCTCGGAGATTTTGTGTATCTGGCAGAATCATAAACTTTCTTAAAGTTGATATTATCGTTGTTCATGAACAAATCATTCATTTAGAAATTAATGATTCTTTTAGTGAATCTTGAAGATTCTGTGTTGTTTTTGCAAATCCTGTGAAAAAGGATAGAGAGGGCTTGGGAAAACTAGATTAATATAATAATTCTCTTAATGAATTAGCCTTGTGTATTGGAAGTGATTTTAACTCTATCTTGTTTTCTTTTGGAAAAAAAATTAGGCGTATTAATGCCAATCACAGCGCTATAAGAAAATTTGCTAATTGGCTTAAGTTGTGCCATTTATCTGATGTTGCTTTTGAAGGTTTACTTGAAAAATAGGTAAAAATTAAGGAAAGGTTAGATACAATGTTAGCAAATAAAGATTGATTGATTCGTCATAATAAGTTTTCAATGATAAATATCCCTTTGCCTTCTTCTAATCCTTGTGGTATATGTTTACAAATTAGTTCGGTTAAGAAAAGGGATAATCAATTTAAATTTTTAATTTATTGGTTAAAACATTCAAAATTTTCTTAGTTTATCCAGAATTGATGGGAGGATATAGTAAGAATTGGAATGATAATCTAAATGATCTTGCTAATAATTTATTGAACTAGAATAAGGATATTTTTTGTAATATTTTTTTCATAAAAAATATTAATATTATGATTAGAAGGGATCGATAGAAAACCTCTACAGGGAGATAGTCTTTTCCTCTCACATCTACATGAAAAGTATTTTTTAACCAATTACTATAATATTTTATTAGAAGAAGAACAATATTGGTTCCTCTAAGCAAGAATTAATTGGGCTAAATTAGGTGATAAAAACACTACTTTGTTTTTATTCTTATGCAATTATTAGAAGAACTAAGAATAAAATTTATGCTTTAAAAAAATACTCAAGGTAAGTGGGTTTATAAGAAGGAGGAAATTATGGGCTTGGTCATAAAATTTAAAAAAAAATCTGTACATTCAAGATTGTTTTAGAATACCCCTCTTATGTTGCTACAAATAATTTTTCCCTTCTTGAGGAGTGAGAATTAGCATAAATTGATAAATTTCTTTCAATGCCTGAAATTCACAATGCCCCTGTTTAATATTGGTAATTATAAATCTCTGGATCCAAATGATTTTCATGTTATTTTCTTTAAATTTCAATGGGATACTGTTGATAGGGCTTTTTGTAATAAAGTAAAGGATTTTTTTTTAAAAAAATCCTTATTCTGTAGGTGATATAAATCAAACTTGTATTTTTACTATTCCGAAGAAAGATCATCTAGAAAATCTTGTTTATTTAATTAATTCCTAAATGGATGGTACTCACCATTATTAAAGAAATCAATTCAGAAATAAACATTCTACTCAAAGTCTCTTTAAAACACACTTTTAGTCATTGATTATGTACAAGTCTTCTCCATCTTTGATCTCTCTTTTAAAAAGAAATCATCCAAAAGTATTCTAGAATAGTTAGATTAATTTATCTTTTAAGCTTTAAGTTCTGTTGTACATAAAAAAGAAAAGAAAGAAAAATTGAAGTACATTTATTTAATTCTTTTTAATGTTACTTTTTAATTTAAATTAGAGTTTTATTTTAAAAAAAACTATTTATTTAATATTTTTATGTATTATTAAAGTAAAAATTTAATTAAAAAAATTAAAACACAATAAATTACATTTAATTTTGTCCTATAATCTTAATTATAAATTTAACTTTTTGTATTAAATAGAAGAAAAAAGTTTATAAGGTTTACCTTGTTACTTAATTGTTAATACACTACAAATAAATGTTATATATCAAAACAATCATTCAGGAAAAAAATGTCATGCTTGAAAATTTAATGAAAGAATATACTTTTTATTAAATGTTTTTATTTTTTAACTATTATTCAGTAAATTTTATAATTTTAAATTGTCATATCCTTTATTCTTACACATGATCTTAATTATTAAATATATTTTATATTTTAAGAATATATATATAATTTAATACTAACTTTATAAAATAGTAAAAAATTATTGAACGTTATTTACTTACAATTAGTTTCTCCCACTTCATTAATTCCATTTATTTGGCCATGTTTTTGAAATCCTTATAATTTAAAATATGAGTAGACGTAATTAATTCATGTTATTGATAAACTAATTATATTCCTGAATTATAGGTTTCTTGAAATCTGAAACAAATATAATTTGAAATGTACAAGAAAAAGAAAATGGATTTTTTTTTAATTTTATAATTTATTACAAATAGTTCATTGAATATAATTTTTTATTTATGTATTTTTTTATGAGAATCAACAATACGACTTATTAACATTTTATTGAGATTATGATTAAAATATAAATATATTAAAGATAGCCCATAATGATATTTGTTTAATGAATATATGTAATAAGCCGTTTATTTGAATAAATCACCCACTTTGTCTTAAGTTGATACTAGCTTGACATTTTTGTCTCTATTAAAATATTTTTCCTACGTGTTTTTCATGATGATCAACTTATAACAGCCAATTATTAGACAAGTGTCCCCAATAATTCTCTTCACCTAAAGATGCAAATGTACTTAGTGTCATAATTTTAACAAAATAATAAGTAAATCATAGAATTTGGATTTACTTTTTCAGCACTAAATGTTTTAGATTTATTTTTTTCCAAATTTTTTATTAAATATACATAAAAAAATAACGGATTTGATAATTTTCCTCATAAGTAAAATTAAACATGAATCCGTAAATCATAAAATTAGAATTTATATTTATTTGTGATGTGTTTTTTTTTTGGTTTTATTTAATACACATAGAAAATAATGGATTTTATTTATTGATTTTTTTTCCACATAATTGAAACTAAAAATGAATCCGTAAATCATTGAATTTGAGTTTATATTTTTTTAGCAATACATGTATATATGATGTGTTTTAATTTTCATTTAATTATTTATAATAAACAGAATGCGACTTACTGTGATTAAATAGATTAAATAAAGTCCAATGATAAAAGAATAAGTAAACTAATTTTCACATAAAAAATTTAAATAATAGAAAATAATATTATTATGCATTTGCATGTTAAGTTTCTTTAAAATATTTTTTGATTAACAATAAATAAATATTGATAATATTTTTAATAAACACTTAAATTTCAAATAACTTATTAGTTTATTTAAAAAAATAATTTAAAATAGAAATAAATAGATAAATCATTATCTCCATCATTAACTTTTTGTGTATTATGTTAAATGTTTTTGTTTTGAAATATATTTTAGTATATGTTTTTAGGTTTTAATTTTTCATTAATTAAATTTTATTTGGTAATAATTTTTCTTATAAATATTATTAATAAGAAGAATCGTACATTTAGTAAACATATTAGCTTGAATAATGTAAGTAAATATAAAAAATTAATGAATATAGGATCTGATGTTATTAGACAAGGTAATATTTTATCACATTTAATAATAGCACGAATGTCTAGTTAATTTTATTCAATATCATTTTCTTAACATGTACAATATTATAGATAATAAAAAATTAATAAATAGTAAAATTTTATTAAATAATAACATGAATGTCTAGTTAATTTTATTAAATATAATTTTTCTTAACATGTAATACTACAGATGATAACAAATTAATAAATAGTAAAATTTTATTAAAAATTATAATATTTAATAGTATTCATGTATTAAATTTTGTTATCGATGCTTTAAATTACATTAAATTTTGTTATTTTTAATAAAAAATTATAATTTTAAATTTTTATCATATATAACATTGCACAAGTTAAAAAAAATTATTATATATAGGTCACTAGCTGGTTTATCTCAAGCACATACAAAATTATCTATATTGACTTTGGTGTCATTGTTGCAACCCTAGCACTAATGGCTTTACTATCGACCATATCCATGTACGTGATTATGGTTTCAATCCTGGCAATTCAACTACCTCTCTCTGCAAGTAAGTAGGCCATGTTTATATTACTCCATTGCAAATTAGTTAAAGTTCTTTATATTGAGATCAGTTATCTCACAATAATATGTTGCTATTTAGTATACTATCTATAAGAGGTGTATTTTATGTTGAAATCAATGTATCCTTAGCTATATGGTTGAAGATTATTCATTTTTCTATTCTAAATGATCAGGCATTGGCTTTAATTATGGGAGACTGGGAAACAATCTTCCAGCCCCACAAGATGTTGTAGCCCTTTACAAGAGGTGTGGCATTCAGCTTCTAAGACTTTTTGATCCAAGCCCTGATGTATTGGAAGCATTAAGAGGGTCTAACTTGAAAGTGAGTCTTGGAGTGAGAAATGAAGATGTACAAATCTTGGCCTCAAGCCCAGAAGCAGCTACCCAATGGGTCAATACTAATGTTGCCCCTTACAAGGATGATGTACTTTTCCGATGGATTACAGTGGGAAATGAGATAATTCCAGGTCCCCAAGCCATACATGTTACTCAAGCCATGCAAAACATTTATAATGCAATAAATTCTATTGGCTTAACTACCTCTAAGGTGACCACATCATTTTATTTGCTTGGCCTTGCATCCTCTTTCCCTCCATCAGCTGGGGCATTCACAAATGAAATAGTGGATGTTATGAAGAGTGTTACTACTTTTCTTGCTCAAACAGGTGCACCCCTTATGGTCAATGTATACCCTTACTATAGTTACACTTCAGATCCATCACATATAACCTTTGAATATGCCTCATTTCAAGGCACAGCTCCTTTAATTGATGGTGACTTGAAATATTTTAGCCTATTTGATGCAATGGTTGATTCAGTTTATGCAGCATTGGAAAAGATAGGAGCAAACAATGTTGGTATAATCATAGGAGAAGTTGGTTGGCCTACTGCGGGAAATGAGCCTTACACAACCATACAAAATGCACAAACCTTTAACCAAAAATTGCTAAATCATTTGCAGGGTAATAGTGGCACACCAAGAAGGCCAGGTCAACCTTTGGATGCTTTTATTTTTGCCATATTCAATGAAAACCAAAAGCCAAATGGGGTGGAGCAGAATTGGGGAGTCTTCTTGCCAAACATGACTCCTGTTTATCCCCTTTTAAGTTGTTGATCATGGCAATGCATTAAACAAGTTATCAAATTCTATAGGCTACTTGCACATTAAACATTGTACGAATTACTATATCATAAATAAAATCGATGAATTAACGTGTATAAATATTTCGTTTTATTTTACTCTCTATTTGTAAATTGAGATTTCAATGAAGAGTCATGAGATATAGGAGATAAATTATCCGTGTGTTGGAGGGGATTTGTGTAGATATAAAAAAATGGTTTAGAATATAAAAAAATAACTTAAAATTTAAATTTTTATTAATTTATTATTTATTATAATTAAATTATTGTAAATTATTTCTTTAATTATTTTAATTATGTATTTGTAAATTGATGTCATTTCGTTTATCAACTATATATAATGAATAAAATTTTATTTATTATTCCTAAATGCATATAATAAAAGTGTAATGAAAAATTAGCTTTTATATTCAACTTTTAAATGTCAAAACATTTAAACAATTTCAAGTTATTTTAATATGTAACTAAATCTTATTTATTTATAATATTTTATAAATAGAAATAATGAATAAAAATAATAATTTTAATATATTTAAATTTAAAGTACCTAATAGTAATTTATTTAAAATTATAATTAAACTTACAAAATTAAAAAATAACTTACTATATATTTCATATTTATATATATTACATTAGTTTAGTAATTCATACAATACACATATATTTTATTTTAAAATACATATAAAATATTAAAATATATTATAAAAATTTAACACTTAAATTAAGAATTTTTTATAATTGTAAAACTAATAAAATATAATATATTAATAAATATTAGATCAACTATTATGACACATATTTCAATTAAAATATAATTTATCTATATAATATTATGTAATATGGTATAAATGTTAAAAAGTACACATATTATATATATATATATATATATATGATATTGCAATAGATAGAAAAGAATAAAAGATATCCTAATTTTAAAAAAAATTATAATTAACTAAAAAAATTACTTTAGATAGTATTTGAAATTAATACAAATTTTGAGAAGAAAAATGCATAAAAGTAATGAATTTTACGATTTTTAACAGAGAACATATTTTTTTTGTGAAATTAAATATATAATTATTAAGAATTTTGATTAAAAGTATTGTAAATAATAGATGAAAGATGATAAATTTTATCAAGTTAACGTAAGCATTGGTGAGAATTTGATATTTTTACACTTAAAAAATATCTAAAAGAATAATTTCGCGCTTGGCACATTAATTTAAGCTTAGACGGAAAACACAAAGATAATGCTACATGCATGTTCAGTTGCACCAAACTTGGAAGAGTAAAAAGGCATGTTATTTAATGTGTTGTGCTCCCATGCATTAATTATTGTTATAACACACGTTAATTTCTACAATAATAACCAAACAACCAAAAAAGGATGAAATAACAAAGGGTCACAAACATGAGATCCCAGTAGTGAAACATCCATTTTTACATAAACCCCTATATTAATATATATGATGTCCTTACACCACTAACTCTAAGGAGATTTTTCATTTGCGCCGAACTGTGATGGGACTTCTGACTATGTGCTTTCCATTTGTCCACAGCAATTCCCCAAAACTATAATTTCCCCGCTTAGTTACACTTGAAGCTTGTACAGTAACCTTGAATGTCTTCTTTTCACCAACTTTCTTGAAAGTCAAGGAATTGGGTATAACAACAATGTTATATCCAGGCAATTGGGCTTTTACAACATAGGTGCTTGGTGGCCCAACATTGGTGACCGTGCGAGTGACAACCATGGCATTTAACCCAAGATTTGGCATTGTTATTGAAGGGTAGTTCAAGTCAGTTATGCTGTGAGATCCTGAACAAGTGAATGTCTTGTTGAAATTAAGTGCGGAAATGAGTTGTCGGTCGTATCCAGAAGCACATAGGAAGTTCAAGTAATCAACAATGCTTAGATCATAAACAAGTCCAGGATCTATTGCTGAGTTAGGTTGAACATGTCCTGAACCATAAGCAAACGGGTTTGCCAATGTTTTATCAAACGCATCCCGTATTGGTCTGTTGGTGTTATCTCTTGTGCTTGCTGCAAGACATCATTTAAATATGTTAGAAATCGCCTAAAATAGTACTATTTCAGACACGATGAGTGGGTGGGGCACAAATATAAAGCGAAAATTGTTATCACTTCAGCTATCATAGTTGTATGATTAGGATTGATCTCTCAACTATGTCAGGGCTCTTAATGGTATTTTTTTTCACTTTGTAGAATCACATGATCAAACTCAATATGATATGTTTAAGTGATCCATGTTCTTCTACTCATATTAGTACACATTGGTTATATATAAGACAAACGCATACAATTGGTACATAATTATTATGTCGTAAATAAGTTAGACTATTCCTTGTACTCTAATTGATAATATCTTTGTTTTATAAAAAAAATATTAATTGGACACAAAGTATATGCATTGAGAGAGAATACCTGTGGTCATGATTGCTGATTTAATAGCTGCTGGACTCCAACTAGGATGAAGTGTTTTGATAAGTCCAGCAATGCCAGCGACATGAGGGCAAGACATAGAAGTTCCTTGCAAAACATTGAATGGAAACCCTCTGCGAGGGTCTGAAGGTAGGTTTGATGCACTAGCGAATAGTGAATAGGCAGCAAGTATGTTCACACCGGGTGCAGTTACATCAGGCTAAAAAACAAAAGAAGTCTCATTGAACAATAAAGACACTATAGAGTATATACGTATAGTTGATTAAAAGAAAATCCAACACTAATGTGCACCTTGAGTATTGATGGTTGAATCTTATTGGGTCCTCTAGAGGAGAATGAAGCCATAACTGGAGCTGGCTTTATTCCAAACAAAGTTCTTGCCGAAGACATCCTTATTGTATTGCCTGATTTTATCGTAGAGTCCCTGCAATATAAGCATATAGTGTGTGTGCATAAATGGAGCACTTTATTTGACGTCATTGGAACATGGAAATTAATACACTTACTAGGTGTATAAATTTAGTAAAAAATGTGATTAAAAAAAGAAAATAAAACAGAAATACTAAATAAACATAGAAATAATTTATTATAAAGATAATAATTTTAGAAAATGGTATATGAAAAATATATATAATTACGTTGCAGTTAAGTCAAAACTAGCAGGATTTGTTTTTGGATGTTTCTGCGGATAGTTGACGGTGGATAAAACATGAGGCTCAGCAAGAAGTGTGTTCCCATTTTGCTTTTGATTGCCCAAAATCACTCCCCTGGCACCAGCAGATAGAGCTTCTTGACCTTCTGCAACTGATTTTATTTTTCCTTCTCGAAGGCACGACACTATTTTGCCATTCACTTTTCTAGGATCAAGTGTCCTAGCCCTACAAAATCGACTGCAAGAAAGCACACAAAAATGAATGCATGGTCATCTAGTAAACAAAGTTCGAAGAAATGCTTGTGAGATTTGCACTTACGCATCTCGATTTGTTGCATTGGCAAATTTAGCATCAGTAGCAAGGATCAGAGAAAAGGACTGATTAGGTGGTAAATTTACAAAAAGACTGTCTCCCTGCAAGTAATACAAATAAAAAACAATTATTCTAACACGACAATTACAAAAATAATAAAAATTACACTCATTTTTTTCTAAAACTTGATATATTTTTTTAACTCTACAAAAACCTCAATTTATATATTAGATAGTATTGTGTCGTCTTTCCATTAACATATATTAGAATTATAAATTAAGAAAAAGGACACTACCGTGATTTTCTGATTGTTACCAAAAGTTAAAGTGCTGCTGAAGTCCCTATCTATTGTGCTAGCAGCAATAGTGAATAGCCAGGGAGCCACATTAAGAACAGTTCCAGGTGTTGGTCCATCATTTCCAGCCGCGGCAACCACTAATACATTTTTGGAAAGTGCATGGAATGCCCCAATAGAAACTTCATCTGTGAATATTTCTTCAGCACTAAGACTAGTTCTGCCTCCAATAGAAACAGAAATCACATCAACACCATCACTGATGGCTTGATCAATAGCAGCTAACACATCTGCACCAAAGCAACTAGCAGCATCTGTGAGAGACCAGCATGCTTTGTAAGCTGCAACTCTAGCTCTTGGAGATCCACCCTTTGCAGTGCCATTGCCATTTCCAAAGACACTTGCACCTGCCACAAAGTTTCCTCCAGCTGTTGATAGAGTGTGGGTACCATGGCCCACAAAGTCACGCGCTGTTTGTTGTGATGAGGGAAGTTTGCCGCTGAATGCTTCATAAGCTTTGTTGAAGAATCTTGCTCCAATTAGCTTTCTGCATTACGTATCACACAATACTGTGTTAATGTTTTTGTAGGCATAACTTAGAAGACTTTTATTTCTATCATGTTTCTTGCTTATGTTATTTATATATCTGTTCATGATTAAATGCCTAGTTTGATTATCGAATTTTCTTTGATTGATTAAATGAAAGGAAGAGGACCTGTTACATGGAATTTTCTTTGAACCCCGCAATCTGTCAATTTGACAGACATTGCCCCCACGCCATTTTGCTGGCACAGGACCGATTCCTGTGTCGCTAAAACTCATGGATTCAGGCCAAACACCTATACAGTGGTCAAGTTAGAAGAGTATTTAAACAATTTAGACATTTCATTTTAAATAACATATTAACACAAAAGAAATAGATCATTCATTTTAGATTTTAAAGTAAATACAATTTCTTTATTTAAAACCCCAATTTTGTATGTCTGTGCACTTTACTTATCTCTCAGACAATAATGGAAAACAAATAATTCCTTCAAATGATATCACTTTAAATTCCCACATATTATATAAGAGATGATCTTAAACCTTACATCACGATTACGCATTTTTATCTTTACCTTTTTCCGAATAATAATTCTATATTAATCAATAACGGAATAAAAGAAAATTTTAATTCTCTTGCAAGCTAGAAATACTTTTCTCGAGTTAAATATTAAAATCAGAATCTATAAAAAAAATTAAAATCATAAATTTATCTATTTAAAAGTGAGACAACATCAAATAATATTAAATGTCAAATTTAATAAAATTATAACTTAAACAATATTTTATTAAAAGTAAATTTTATTAATTTGAATATAAAGTTATTACAAAATATAGTAAGCTTATAAAATTTTATAGAATTTAAAGATTAATTTTTTACTCTCATTTTATTTTGGCATATGATATGTTATTTAAAATATCAGTAAATAGTTATTATTAGATTATATAATTATATATTTTAAAATTATGAAAAATTTTATATGCATAATTATCATGATAATCAAATGAATCAACAGTTCCTCTAATAAAATTTGTTTTAAATGGAAAATTTATAATATCATTTTATTAATCAACAGTTATGTTTACGTATTACAAAGTTGTTTGCATACTATTTTCATTAAAAAATTCATATATATTCTATTTTGAACTTTTCCCAATAAAAAACTTACAATCAATATATCATAGATTCATTGGTGTCCAGATAACAAAATCTATTAAAATTGATACAATTGGTTTCAAAGTGACCCCTCTTTTCGAGATACAGATCATATAGGTTCATAGATTTGTGGGCATTTACCCTCGTGCAAATTTTAAATATGGAGCACACACCATGAGATCTTACGGGCAAATAAAATATATAATATTATTTAACACAAAAATTGTCCAAGCTTTCGTGCTTGGATTTTAAGAACTCAAGAAAGCATCTTGCCAACGCAAGAAAGCCTGTAGTGCTTGTCGCCAAATAGGTTAATAAATTTGAAAAGATGAAAAGCATCTAACAGCCCTCTAACAAAATAATGGCAACATCAACTTTATGTAAATCCTCAATAAAATAAGTTGATAATTATAAAGATAACTGTAAACCAAATTGATATCGCTGGCTTCGATTATTAATACAGATGTTTTTTCAAAATTATTAATAGATAATTATTTGGTTCTGTTTGGGTAAACTCATTTTAGTTTTTTAAATTGAATTATCAATCGATTTAATTATTATTTTATACAATTGTTATTTAAAATTTTAATTTTATAAAAAAAATCTACTTTAATTGTTTTAGTATAAAAATAACATTAAAATAAAATAGAACTAACTAGATAAACAACTTTTTATAAAATTAAAACTAAAGTAAGTTTTTTATGAAGTTAAAAAACCAAAATTCTGATTGATATTTACAATTTTAAGAACTATATATAACGAGAGTTTACTTGATTCTGATTGGATTATAAGACATAGAGTGTGGTAATAAAATTATGAAGTTTACCTGTGTCAATGTTACCGATGATTGTTTTTTCACCAAATCTTCCCTTTTGCCATGCTGTGTTCACACCATTCCTTTGCAATCCAAGAAACTCCCAGGAACGGGTAGTGTACAGTTTATGCTCTTTGCTCAAGAACACAGACACTACGTTTGGTTTTTCTGCATCATTACAAACATCGTGTCACCTAACTAATTTGAAACAAAATATATAATTAATTTGGAAGATGTTTATGGCAGTATTTGCTATTCATTTTCTAACTTGCAATATCTTCTGCTTCTTCCTCTTCAAGTGCAGCTGCAAAGCCATTTATGTGTTGATTATATGAATAAATAATTGCTTCTTTCGCTTTCTCATGGCTGTGAGTGATCAATATACACAAAACAGTTAATTACATCCTTCTTAACCAGAGCTTAGCTAGGAATTAACGGTTTATTCAACTTAATTAATCATATACCTTCCCAAGATTGAACCCAATAAATCGTAATGAGAAAGAGTAGCAGTTTCAAGATCAACAGATGAAGGGTTTGGACCATGAGAATGTGCTCCCAAGTATACAATGTAGCACTGTAAACAACAAATAAAAAATCAACAATTGGTGAAGTGTAAGCAAAACAATGTAATGCATCACCATTATGTAATTCATTTATTACACCCTTTGAAATCTTCATCTCAACTTCAAAGTGGAAACCTCACAACAATATTCAAAAAAGCAATTTTTTGTTTTGGTAATTCATCATGCAAATGAGCAATTAATAAACATGCAACCTGGCCTACCTTTTTGCTGGCATGAACAAAATTCAGCAACAGAGAGAGAATAAGAAAGTATGAAAGAAGAAGGGAGCGATCCATTCACTTCAGTTGATGGTCTTTGGAAAGTGCTCAGCTTAGCACATGGCCTCTGCTAATTCCTCGCCTTAAGTAACGAAAGGACATAAATAAAGCCAAATTTTATTTTAACAAGATAAACACGACTCTAGATTGATTTTATTCCTAAAGTCAGATACAAAAGAAATGTTTATCCTTAGTTTAAAGTGAGAAATTTATGATTATTACTCAATTATAAAGAAAGACTCTTTTTAAATAAATATTTTTTTCTTTGTATATATATTTTGTGTGTGTATGTTTAATGAAATTTCTTGACTTTAACTATTCCTTTTATGACTCTAAGTTTTAATCTTTTTCAATGCTCGTTCCTTGCGTGTATATTTATTTTATACTTTATTTATATTACCCGTCCATCAAATAAAAAACCATAAATTTCAGAATTCGAATTCTCCCTTGAAAGATCATCGAAGTTCAAACATCGTGGAGAGAGCCTTCTATCACTGTGATTGGAATATAAAAACATACAATTTGCGGATGTTAGGTGACAATGAGTCAAGCGGAGGACATTAATTTAGGAACTAGCAAAAGTTAAAACAATGAGACAGAGTTAAATAATAAACAATGATTTTTTTCCCTTTCTTTAAAATAAAATAAAAGAATTAGAAATACAAAGTACTAATTTAATAGGACTCAAGGTGTTCTCGATATTAGATTGAGGTGCGACGAGAGTCTATCTACCATTTAATTTCCCATGTAAGCATTAAGTTCAATAAACATGGCTTTCCGGGCCATGATCTCGATAATTAATTTAGCGATTGGAGACACTCATAACAAAATAGGCTCCAACGAATTTGAAAAGAGATTTTGGGTAATTGTTTATTTGCTTAGATTTGAATTAAAGGTCTTCCTAACTAGCAATTTAATAAATTATTTAAAGAATTAAAAAATTATTAAAAATTATGAAGAGATGTATATTTATTATTTTTAATAAAAAGTAATTTTAAAACACTGATTAAAATTTACTTTGAATAACTGCTTATTTAAGCACTAATTTAAAAACTTTTTTTAAAAAATAATTTATATAATAAATTTAAGAATAAAATTTATTAAAATAAACTGAAAATAAATTATTTTGTTGTTATACTAAATAGTTTATTAAAATAAGTTAAAAATAGCTTGTGAGAATTATAAGTTATTTTTTCCAAGTTCTCTGTAATACATCTTTGCGGCATGTAATCACGAGATTAAGGATACAAAAAATTTATAGCATGCTTAATTTCACGTTAAGGAATACGTAAATCCACACTTGCAATTATAACGTTACAGATTCAGTTCTACAAATACACGAAAAATTTGGCAGAAGTGGTGCTAGGTAGCTTGAGGGGTGAATCAAGACTCAAGCACAGGACAGTGAAAAAGTTGTGAGAACGAATTGGGAAAGCTTGAAGCAACAAGCAGGGCTTAATGACCTTAACAATGCTTTTTTAATTATTTATTACTAAAATAAAATAAAAAATAACTAATTTTTTTTATTAAAGATAAATTTTTGTCACATCAATTCATATTTTATATAAAAGTAAGATAAAATTAATTTTTTATTTTTTTAATTAATTCAATTCGTCCAAAAGAAAAATGAAATATCACCTATTTCGTATAAAACAGATACAAAATAGGTGACGATGACAAATTTTCAGATCTCGTTAAATTTATTTTCATTTAAGACAAAATAATAGGATGACGACACGTGTTTAATTTCATCTTTATATGAGACGAAATTCATATTACTTCTTGGACAATGAGCAACGATTACCCTAGATGAAATCTTTACTTTGCTTTTCATTTGCAGGTTTCTATATTACAATAAAAATCTAACAACAACAAACATACGGTTGTTAACGTCTCTTTATTCTTAATATTACTTAGAGTTTAATTAATTTAATTTTTTTATTAAACAATATTTTTAATACTTTTTTTATTGAAATAAACATAAAATATTCGTCTCATCAATTTTAATTCATTTTTTAAACTTAATACATCACATCAAATTAATAAAAATAATATGTCAATTCTTGAATAAATAATTTGTTAACTTAATTTAAAAAAAAATAGATATCTAAAAATATATTTTTAATTAAAAATATAAATTTCTTACACTTTATATTTTTAAATGAAAAATACTTTTTTAATAAAAACTTATCACTTTTAGCCACTTATCTTTGAATCTAAAAGTTGGAGCTAATGTTTTGAAATTTATTTTTATATATTTTTGTCAAATTAAAACAGTCATATTTTTTTGTTATACTTGTATATAAAAAGATAAAATTCTTATCATTAACAATAAAGACACCTACATTATATATACTTTTTAGGTAATTTTTTAATTGTTTAATTATATTAAAATTTTCATATATATATATATATATATATATATATTTCAATTTTGATCTAGCTAGAAATATATAGCGATATTAAGGTGTATATATATATATATTGTTTAATGAATAAGTTGAAAAGGATTTATAAAAATTATTAAGAGTGACCAATATTTATTTGTCTCTGTCTAAAAAAAAATTGTATTCGCATACTTCCACACGCAGAAGCACACAATTGCTTTCATTTTGTTCTTAATTGAAGTGTATCTAAATCAAATATAAAAAAATTGAACCCTGCAAATGAAAAGCAAAGTAAGAATTTCGTTAAGGAAGTAGCCGCTGCTAATTGTCTAGCGGTAATATAAATTTTGTCTCGTATAAAGATGAAATTAACAGAATTTATATAAGAATTGTCATCTTATTATTTTATTTTAAGTGAAAATGAATTTAACAAAATTTGAACACTTATCATTATCATTTAATTTTGTCTCTATTTTATATCAAATAGGTAATATTTTGTCTTTTTTTAAATAAATTGAATTAATTAAAAAATAAAAAATTAATTTTATCTGATTTTTATATAAAACATAAATTGATATAGCAAAAATTTACTCCAAATAAAAAAATTAGTTATTTTTTATATTATGATAATAAGTAATTAAAAAAATATTATTAAGTTCATTAAGCCAAGAAGTAGCATAAGAACGTGGTACTTTCCACAGTGCTTGAAGAGCTGACAAGAGGCTAAGATTTATTATTATTATTTTGTTGATGATGAGATGATGAGTTGAGGGTTGAACGAGAGAAAGGAGGATTGAGTAGGATCAGCTTAGGAGTGGGAAATTAAATAAGGAGGATGTGATTGACGTGCCATATTTTGTAATTTAATTTTATCACAAGATTAAAAGAGGTGTTAAATCTATTTACGTTATAAATCGGATTTGTGAAATAAATCATACTAATAATCTTATTTTTAAGCTTATTAAAATAAGTTTAAAAACTAAGAAAGTCATAAATTAGTTTTATAAATTATCTATAAATATTTTAAAATATTTTTGCAATTCAAATGAATGAATTGGTAAGTTTAGTTCTTTTTTTTTTTTTTTTGAAAACATATTTTGTGATAAGACTTTTTACAACGTTTTTATTAAATTTTAGTTTTTAAAATATTAAAAAATTAAAATTTAAGTTTCTGTTAATTTTTTTAAATGTCTTCTTTCTTAACAAAGAGTCAATTCATTATTGTTGTATCATTTAATATTTTTATATTTTATTATTTAAAATTAATTTTTATAAATTAATTTTTTGCTTCAACCTCTCTTCTTTTAACTTCTTTCTCTTTGACTCTGCCGTCACTTCCTCCAAGTTCAAACTCTCCATTGCCGTTCCCACCACACGCCACTCCACCGGCCACCAGCTACGCCTCTGCCCTCGCTGATGTGGCGAACTCCAACAACACCCTTGACGCAAACAGTTCATGCATTCTTATGCCATTTGTGGCGGAAAAGGAAGAGAAAACCATGCAAACGTGCATACTTGAGCGGGACGCATTGCGGTTTTGAGAGCGGAGAGGCAGTGATCGAAGGATTTGAGAATGGAGACCACATTATCGGTGATGGTTTGGCGCTTGTGAAGCGAGTGTTTCATGAATGTTGCTCTTTTCCAAAGAACAGCGGTTGTAACCGATTTTCTCGTCTCTGTTTGGTTACTGGAAAAATGGAAACCACCCACCGAGTCAAGAAGACCTCCTCTTTGAGAGCATATTCATGGAGGACAATCCAAATAGAAGCTGAGGCACTAGCGGTTTGTGGTGTATATTTGTTTAGTTTAATGAATAAGGTGAGGGAAAAGGGTATGGTTGATCAAAAGATAGCCTTTGAGGCAATGAGGGTTGGTCGGGTAGGGGTGGGGAGCACTTGACATGGTAAAAGGTAAGGACTTTGCTAATGGAATCAATGAGATGATGAGCAATGAATCTTTGAGGGACCAAGTTAGAGAAATGCAGAAGGAAGTTAGGAAGGTTGCTTGGGTTAGCTAGCAGTGATGTTTTGAGGGATGAAGATTTTTTTATAAATATTAATTTTAAATAATAAAATATTTAAAAAAATTTAATGATTTAATAATATGTGACAATTACATAATAATGATGAATTGTTTTTGTTAATCAGTTGAATCTTAATTTCTTCAAATTAAATTTTCAAAAAAAATTTACAAAAATTTATCACAAAATATGTTATATTATAGAAATAAAAATATTATTATTATTTTTTGTTAAAAAACTTTATATAAACTTAATTACTATAAAAAAATTATATAAACTTAATAAATTTTAAATTCAACCGCTAATGACTTATAGGATTAAAAAAATATTATTAATATAAAAAAATATCAACAATAACCTGCCATCAAAAGTAACACTTTAAATTATAAAAAACATTTGGATGCAACGATAATAACATGTATGATAAAAAATATAACTGAAAAAATTGAATTCAACAAGTATGTTAGAGAAATAATAACAACAATAATCGTGTCTTATTTCATTTAATGAAATTGGTTACACAAATCATGCAATACTATTGAATTCAAAAATTAAATTTTTAAAAATTTAATTAATTAAAAAATATTTTTAAATAATTTTATTTATTTATTTTTTGTTTCTCTCAACTCTTCTTTTATTAACTATTTCTGAAAGTTGAATAATTTCTTACTTTTAATAGTTATTACTTAATATTTAGAATATTCACTTTTTTAATTCTTTGTTTATAACCAACGTAAAATACTAAGATTTTATGCTGTGTAGGAGGACACTTTTTTTAAATCACTTTACAATAATTATAAATTCTTTAGTTTAGCTTTTTCTTTAGAAAAAAAATTGATGTGTGATTTTCTTTTCCTTTTTTCCCGCAAGTCCTAAAATTGCACCGTTATATTAGAATCAACTTGCCAACGTTGTATTTACATAAACATCCCTATATATAACACTGATCTTTCATGTTGAGCAATATAAGCCATAAACTTGATCTTCAATGAATATTGAGCAGCAAAATAAAAGCAGCTGTGCACCCTCATGATCCACACATCTAACATATATGACTGCTACGACTTTGGAAGCTTGCTTTCTGAGTCCTCTCTGTATTTACACATACCTTAAGAAATAAAAGGGAAGGCTTACTATTATTTATATTATAATACTAGCTCTAGAACATAATAAGTAGCTGCGAAGTTTAGCTACAAAATAATAATAATAATAATCAAATTTACGTTCATATTTCCTTTAGATCACTTGTGGAGCATGTGCCTTGAATTTCAGTATTTGTAAAAACAAAAGAATACTCTAAGACCAAAATAATATTATTCTTGAATCCTTTTTTATAACATTATATCTCATTTTATAATATAAAAATGAAGTACAACTAAAAGTTCTCATTCCACAAACATGGTGATGAAAGACCAGAATTTTAAAAAGACAGGCATTGATCAAAATGACCTGTGCTCCTATTCGTTGTCTTATTCCCCGTCTTTCTATGAAATAAAATAAAATAGACTTTTTTGTATGATAAATATAAATATTTGACTATTTATCTAATGGGTAATTAACCCCGTTCTCATCTCAGTTCCTCAGCACCTTCATGCAGGGAGGGAAAGGAATAAATGTCAGTGCGTGTACCATATTTGACCAAATAATAATAATGAAAACATTTCAGAAAACGACCATTGCTTGAAACGCACAATAACATTTCAGAAAACGACCATTGCTTGAAACCCACAATAATAATGAAAACATTTCAGAAAACGACAATAGCTTGAAACGCACAGAGGATAGGTCTGACGAGGGAGAATGATGATCAAAAAGATTTGTTGAGACAGCAAAGAGATACTTTCATGGTTTTTATAATTAACACTTATTTTTAAATTAATTTTTCTTTTGTAAAAAGGTGATATTGTTGAAGATTTATTTTATATTTTAATCTACTATTTAACACAGTAAACACATTTATAAACTATAAAATTAATTCAAAATGTTTACTAAATTATAATTTTTTATAAAGACTAAATTAAAAAAAAAAATTTACAATTTAAAATAATATTTTTTTAAAAAAGCTAGTTTTATAACAGTGGCAAACACGCCTGAAGATTTAGCTCGTCTTTTGCCAGCTGATGCCTTGGAGTTCACTCCCATGGAGTGTCATTTTTGTTTTTATTCCTTTTTTTATTTGTTCTTCCAACATTACAAACAAAAAAAATAAAAACAAAGAAACGCACATGCCTATTTACATTAATTTATATGTATTAACTAGTTGACGAGTTGATTTTAATATGAACAATTTATTTATTTATTTACTTTTCTTTTACAAAGAAATTTAATTATTCAATCATAAAAATATGAAATCCTTCATTATATTTAAAATAATAACACACACACACATTTTTATTTAATATTTATTTTATAAAATAATAAAAATATTAGTAGAAGAGTAAATCAAAGTAACAAAACTATTATAATATGTGCTTTTAATTCAATCACTGAATCTGCATCAATTTTCAGCTTTAAACTTCCAATTGTCATTTTCTTCAACTCTTAATAACCTATTTGTTGATGTTTTTAGGTAATTGTGTCTAACGCAATCTTAATTAGCTAGAATTAAACAAGAACTTTCTCTCTGTAATTGTGAAAAGCGCAGCATCTCGTGGTTTTAGCGTTCACAACAAGCAGAACTCTTTGGGGGTAGAATAAAAATTTAGTGGTAAAAAAAATATTTTTTATTAAAATGATTTTATTAATTTAACTATTAAATTTAAAATTATTTTAAAGTAGATCAAAGTCACAAAATTTTATGAAAAATGCTAATAGTAATTTTTTTAACACACTCTTTCAAACACATTATCATTAGTTAAAATTTATTAAAAATTACAAAAATCATATAAATTTCACTTATAATTTATTATTCTCATGTATATTTTTCTAATTCATGATAAATTTTAACTAATAACTCAAAATGTGTAAAAAAAAAAAGTACTTTTAGTATTCTTAAAATTTTATGCAACTAAAATATTAATTAATGCACTTGATTTTATTTTAGCTGTTTGAAATATAAATAAATAAACAATATTAAATTTATCTCTACAAATATCTATATCGTGTAAAATTTTATAACATGATCAGCATAATAATATCACATGAATTATCAGTTAAGTTAATAGTATTTACATTTAATTTTTTCTAAGTTTAATGTCATTTGATCATGTTCTCTCTTTTAACACCATTGTTTTAATAATTCATCATTTTCCTTATTTTTCTATTTTATTTGGCACGTTTCTTTTCTTTTCACAATTCTCTTAATTATAAAACATTTATATAAAATAATGTTAAAAAAAAGGGATGAGATTGACATTTTAACAAATTTAAACATTTAATTAAAATTTTGAGAAGTGGAAGTAGGTAAACTTTTAATTTAAAGATTACCCTGTTAACCTACTAATAATATTAAAAGGGTCTTGGAAGAATAGCCGAATAGAATAAAAATACTAAACTAAGTACTACACGTCCAAGAACAAACTAACCATATTATTATAAAAGAAAAGATCATATACATATTTAATAAACATGGAAGATATATTTTTTAATAAAGTTGTTATTATTATTCACATGTCTATTTTAATATTAACTAGTCACCATGATTACGCGCGAAAGACCGAGAAACAATAATATGAAAGTAAACAAAGCAAAGAAAAACTTTAGTCTCTTTTGGATTTTTCTATATTTGTTTCTAGATCATAGTTTCTTTCCCACAATAATGCATATTTTTATTCAAAGTCATGAATGTGAACAGTGAGATATAGGGACCTCTCCCACCAAATGCAAAAATTAACATAAGTGACAACCATTGGAGAAATGGCTCACTTCCACCAAATATAAAAATAATGTCCATTGATAGATGTTCATTCCCTCGGAAACAGACTTAAAGCGACCAAGTTTTGGACCAAACTGGTAAAAAATAGACCAAAGTGTTCACATGTGACACATGCATACCACTTGGTTATGCTGTTTATAAGCAACACTGATCTCCCTCTAATTCACTATGATCACCACCATATCCTCAATCTTATTCCTTGATTCAAAGATCTTGTTGTAGTTAAATCATGGCACCCACCTTTCAAAGGGAAAAATCCATCGTGATTCTATCTTTTTGTGTCTTTCTAACACTCTTGTTGCGCCAAGCTGCTGCTGAAGAAGGTGAAGCAAATGCTTTGTTAAAGTGGAAACAAAGCCTTGACAACCAAACCCAAGCTTTGTTGTCAACTTGGAGAGGTACTATTAGTCCATGCAAATGGGAAGGAATTCAGTGTGACAAATCCAAGTCTGTCTCTAGCATAAACCTTGCAAATTATGGACTCAAAGGTACACTTCACAGTCTCAGCTTCTCCTCACTCCCCAACCTCCTTAGCCTAAATATATACAACAACTTCTTCTATGATACCATTCCTCAACAAATAGGTAACATGTCCAAAGTTAATGATTTGAACTTCTCCTCAAATTCTTTTGATGGTTCCATCCCTCAAGAAATGGGGACATTAAGGAGTATTCGTAAGCTTGATCTTTCATTATGTCTACTAAGTGGAGAGATTCCCAATTCCATAGCAAACTTGTCCAACTTGTCATTTCTAGATTTAGGTGGCAACAATTTTTCTAGCTCCATTCCTCCAGAGATTGGAAAGTTGATTAATTTGGAGTATCTAGGGATTGCAGGTAGTAAAATTTTTGGTTCCATTCCCCAAGAAATTGGAATGTTGACAAACCTTAGGCTTATTGATTTGTCAAGAAACTTTCTCTCTGGTCCTATCCCTGAAACAATAGGTAACATGAGCAATTTAAATCAACTTTACCTTTCTAATAACACTATGTTATCTGGGCCAGTTCCATCTTCCTTATGGAATATGTCTAACTTGACCTTGCTCTACCTTGATAAAAATAAATTTTCTGGATCAATCCCAGCTTCCATAGAAAACTTGGCCAATTTAGTGGATCTTGCACTTGATAAAAACCAACTTTCCGGGACAATTCCTTCCACCATTGGAAACTTGACAAAACTCACCGATTTGTATTTGGGTTTTAATAATCTTTTTGGATCAATTCCACCCTCTATAGGAAATTTGATAAATTTAAATGCCCTTAGTCTCCAAGTAAACAATCTCTCTGGAACAATTCCTGCCACAATTGGAAATTTGAAAATGCTCAAAGTTTTGGAATTGTCCACCAACAAACTTAATGGCAGCATTCCACAAGTCTTGAATAACATTACCAATTGGCTTTCCTTTTTAGTTGCTGAGAATGATTTTATAGGTCAATTGCCGCCTCAAATATGTTCTGGTCAGTCACTAGTGTACTTAAATGCTTTTGACAACCATTTCACTGGTCCAATACCAACAAGCTTGAAGAACTGTTCCAGTATTGTTAGACTCAGACTTGAAGGAAACAAAATGGAAGGAGATATAGCACAAGATTTTGGTATATATCCAAATTTAAAATACATTGATTTGAGTGACAATAAATTTTCTGGTCAAATTTCACCGAATTGGGGGAAGTGCCTCAATCTCTATACCTTCAAGATATCCAAAAATAATATATCTGGTCGTATCCCAACGGAATTTGTTGAGGCATCCAAGCTAGGTGCTCTTGACCTTTCTTCTAACCACTTGAATGGAAAGCTTCCAAAGGAATTGGGTAGTATGAAATCATTAGTTCAACTCAAGATTAGCAATAATCATCTTCTAGGAAACATTCCAACAGATATTGGGTTACTGCATAATCTTGTAGATTTGGATTTGGGAAATAACAATTTCAGTGGCACAATACCAATAGAAGTTGTGGAGTTACCGAGGTTACAAAACTTGAATTTGAGCAAAAACAAAATTGATGGAAGCATTCCCTCTCAACTTAGTCAAACTTTGGCATCTATTGATCTTAGTTCCAATTTATTGAGTGGAATAATACCATCAACTCTTGGAGGGTTGCAATTCTTGTCAATGTTGAATCTCTCACATAATAGTCTTTCTGGCACCATTCCTTCCACTTTTAGCAAAACATTAGATTTTGTCAACATATCAGACAACCAATTGGAAGGGCCACTTCCAAACAGTCCAGCTTTTCTTCATGCTTCAATTGACTCATTGAAAAATAACAAAGGCTTGTGTGGCAATGTTCCAGGCTTGATTCCATGTCCAACCAACCATAATCGAAAAAGCAACAACGTCATTATGGTGGTGTTCCTTATTTTAGGAAGTGTGATACTAGTGTTGTGTGGGATGGGATTTTTAGTGTATACTTTTTGTTGCAGTAAAAGAAAAGAAGAAAGTCATTTTGAAGAAGCACCAAAGGAAGTATTCTTTTCTATATGGAGCTATGATGGAAAAATGATGTTTGAAAACATCATCGAAGCTACAGAGAATTTTGATGACAAATATCTCATTGGAACAGGAAGTCAAGGATATGTTTACAAGGTGCAGTTTTCTACAGGTTTGGTTGTTGCTGTGAAAAAACTTCATTCAGTGATAGATGAGGAAATGTCAAATTTTAGTTCCAAGGCTTTTGCAAGTGAGATTCAAACCTTGACAGAAATCAAACACAGAAACATTATAAAATTGCATGGATTTTGCTCACATTCACAGTTCTCATTCTTGGTTTATCAATTCTTGGAAGGGGGTAGCTTGGATCAAATGCTTAATAATAATACACAAGCAATTGAATTTGATTGGGAAAAAAGGGTGAATGTTGTTAAAGGTGTGGCCAATGCTTTATCTTATTTGCATCATGATTGTTCCCCTCCTATAGTTCATCGTGACATATCAAGCAAGAATGTTCTTCTAGATCTTGAATATGAAGCTCATGTCTCTGACTTTGGGACAGCTAAGTTTCTAAAGCCAGGTTCACGTAGTTGGACCCAATTTGCAGGCACCTTTGGGTATGCTGCTCCAGGTTAGACCCTTTTCCCTCATTTACAAAGGCAAATAGTCGCATTATTTTTCATTCACACCACTTTTTTACACTAAAATTTTGTATAGGGATTGATTCATTCCATGCAAGAATTGGACTAATCCTAATGGTAGAGGTAGTGAAATATGAAAGTGGTGAAAACAAGTTTTGTATAAATAGCATGATCCATTAGAAAACACAAGCTACTCTACTTGATTATACATAATATAACTCAATATTTTATTTATTTATTTGTCTGCAGAGTTGGCTGAGACAATGGAAGTGAATGAGAAATGTGATGTTTATAGTTTTGGTGTACTTGCTTTGGAAATCATAATGGGAAAACATCCAAGAGATCTCATTTCTCAATTTATGTCACCATCTTTGGCTCAAATTGCAAATGATTTACTACTAGTTGATGTGTTAGATCAAAGACCTCCTCAACCTACAAAGCCAATTGATGCAGAGGTGATCTTGGTTGCAAGGTTAGCATTTGCTTGCTTGGATAAAAATCCACGTTCTCGACCAACCATGGATCAAGTATCTAAGACACTTGTAGCAGGGAAATCACATTTGCCTGATCAATTTTCCATGATTAGATTAGGACAACTCTACTAAAAATCATTGTAACATGCAAGTATTTTGTTTCCTTCTTATTCTTCTCTGTACCCCATCCTTCTTTCCCTTGCATATTGTAAGCTTCCTTGCTTTGTTCATTGTATATATAATGTACTCAATTTAAAAATACTATTTTGTTAGTTTAAAAAATATTATAAGTAAAACAAAGTAAAATAAAATGAAAATGTTTTAAAAATTAAAAATAATAATTATGAAAAGGATTTCATCTGAGTAATAATAACTAATTTTTTGGGTTGTGTTATATTAGATGAATTAAATATAGAATAATTACTTACAACTTACACGCTTAATTGAATAACAAACTTAAATCCACTGGGTACCAATTTAACATCAAAGATTTTAGCTATACCATTATCATTCCCTATGCTTAACTGGGCGACCAGAAAAATTATCCAAAATCTATTGCAATCAGAAAAAAGAACCAAAAAGCCAAGATGGTAAGACCCAGCCTTGTAGAAACTCCAATTCAGTAACGAAGTGAAGATGCCGAAGGAGAATTGGGTAAGTGGGTTTCTTTTGGGCTTAGGTCATTAGTCCATATGAGTAGGCATAATGGAAGGAAATTTTATGTCCAAAGTTATTCTTTTCAGAGAAAAAAAAAATAGTACGACCAAATAAAAAACAGAAACATATATAGAAACTTCTGGAGGTTTTAGTTAATCAAGATTGTTGACCAAAAGAAAGTAAATGAAGATTAAGGTACAAAGCCATGTTATTATTATATGAGAGTTTAATTTTTAGCTAATTTATTTTTAAAAATTCATTATAATTGATGCTAAAATATTAAAATATATACAAAAATCTTGAATGGAAAATACTGAGAAGGCAGAAAAAAGAATCCACTACTGAATGAAAGGAAAACATATATATAAATTTAGCTGATCGAGTTGGATTAGACCGGATCTGTAGTGCTATCAGGTCCTGAAAGCAAGTCTATTGGAAACTAAGTACCACAAGTTTTTGGTCGTACTTAAAAACATTAGAATTTAATGAACATTATTGATTAAAACTTGCAAACCATAAGCTAGTAGTGAACTTGCAAATATTTTAAAAACTTTTATTGGTTATTTTTACTTTGGTAAAAAATTTACAATTGTTTTTATTAACAATGCTTAAGGGTGGTTAACTATACCTATTCAACACAGTTATTATGAAATTACCATGTCACGTTAGCTTGCTGGGAGCTATACATGCGTGGTTGTTGGAATGGCATTTTGAATTCATTAAACCATATTGCCAAAGAAAGTAAAGTAAGGAGCAACTATACTTTTTCTTTACATATTTTTATTCCTATCAAAATTTTCATTTTCACTTTACTTTTTGGTGGGTGTGAAAAGATCATAAAATATGGGTAATTGGGAAATAATCTTCTAGCCCCACAAGATGTTATAGCCCTTTTGTTTGGGTAAGGAAAAATTTCTCTAAGTTATAAAACCTTATTGGAGGAAGTTTTTTCTATGTGTTTTGAATAGTTTTCAAGTCCATAAAACTGGAAGCTTTTTTCGAGGTGTTTTGAGAATACTTTGGCTCCTGAATTGAGAATAGCCAAAACTGCTCAATGAATGGTAAGAAATTATTCCAAGTCTACAAGACAAGAGGATTTTTTTCAAGAAGTTTTTGAGTAGTCCTCAGGTCCTTTACACAAAAAATTGCTCGAAAAATAGAAATAACAGAAAAATATTCTAAGTCTACAAGACTGCAAATCTTTTCAAGGAGTTTTTGAGGGTTCTTAAGTCCCTAGCAACACAAAATTGATCAAAAAATAAGAAGTTGTCAGAAAATATTCTAAGTCTCTAAACCTGGTTGAGCTCCAGATTTCCTCCAGAAACGCTCGAAAAATAGGAAGTGGTCAGAAGAAATATTTTAAGTCTACGAGTACAAAAAAAAGGAATTAGTCAAAAAATAGAAATCAAGGAAGAAATTATTCTAAGTCTATAATGCTAAATGAGCCTCTTAGATTTCTCTCAGAACTGCTCAAAAAATAGAAAACAAAAAAGAAAAAAATTCTAAGTTCTTAAGAGTCATGATAAAACTCAAAAGTTATTACAAGTCTCATAAGCAGTTACCAACAGTTACCACCAAACGAAAGTATAACAATACGAAGAAGGATCATGGGCAATAGACCACAACCGATAGCATGATCAGAGCCAGTCGTGGATAATGGGCAACAGTTGAATGCATTTATCGAGAAAAAAGGAGAACAATAGTAGTTTCCCTTGCCTATAAATACGTCAAAGTTTCACTTTCTAGAGGACGACCTTTTGCACCCAAACACCTGCACTTAAAACCTCTGCACGCTGAAAACCTGCATCGCGCCAGACACCTGTTAAGTGATAGAAATTCATATTATATCATTAATTTAGCACAGTTTTTGGTTGAAATGTAAATAATTCTGGGTATATCTAACTCTCAATTGTATGAATTAATCTAATCGAAGAAGTCACAAAAGTAGTAGTATTTTCCTTTAAAATATCTTTCTTTTGTGCAGAATTTGGTGAAGTCTAAAATTCAGGGCTACAGCCTTAAAGCCACAGCTACAGCCATGAAATTGTGCAACAAAAAAAGGATTCCAGAGAGCTACAGCCAAAGCCATGAATCTGTAGCTACAACCGTGAGAGAATTAATGCAAGTCAAAGCTACAGCTACAGCGGTGAATCCATAGCTATAGCCGTGGAGTTAAAATCTATTTGAATTCTCTTTGTTTTGAAGACCCATAAAAGAAAAACGGCTGGAAGGAGAAAGGAGGGGGAAGAGTAGAATAGATAAAAAAAAAAAAAAAAGAAGGACCTTTGGGGCGGAAGAAGAAAAGGGGGGAAGAATAGAGCAACAGAAAACGTAGGGAGGATCGCTTCAGAACAAGAATCATATCTTCACTTTTTCTCATTGTAATTTCTGTCTGCATCTTGATATGGCCCTCACTATGAGTGGCTAATTTCTTTAGGATTGGAGTCAATATAACTCCTAACTCAATTACTTCGTGAGTTTATATGATTTTCAGTTTATTTACTTGAGTGTGATTCTATTCTTAATGCTTAATTCGGCTTAATCACCCGGTTTATGATCTTTGGCTTTTGAATTCTGTTGGGAAACACTTTTGAAAACCCGAACTGAATCACACACCTAATAATCACTTGTACTAGGAATAGACTTGGGGTTGTTAACCATATATGTTCAAGTTGTGTTCTTAATGCAAGGTATTAATCTTAAAACATAGAGGAATCATGTTGTAAGATTAATTACCTTAGGACTTAATTTCGAGGGATCTGGTTAAGTTATGTAATGAACGTGGAAGTAATAGAATTGAAATCATGTTTATTCAATGAAGATAAAAGAGTTAGAAAGTATATTTGAATCCGATCTCTTCTTGCATAAGGTTTTCTACTAAATTTCAATTTGTTGCTTTTATATATTTTAGAACAAATCAATATTTTATCACATTTTTATATTTTTATATACAACAAGAAAGGAAATTACTATTATCAACAAATCTCTGAGGACGATATCAAATTACTACATCGAAACTTGGTTCGCTTGCCAAGTGTTACCAAAAAGGTCATCAAGTTTTTGGCGCCATTGCCGGAGATTTGGCACAGATATTTAGTAACGTTCATTTCTTGTTAAGTTTTGTTACTAGTTAAGTTTGTGAATATTTATGGTATATATAATTATTTTGTTACTTGGATTTACCCTTTTTGTTAAGATTTCTTATATGCGAGGAAAAACTCCAGCCGAAGAATTACAATTTGATCCTGAGATTGAGAGAACGGCAAGGAGAAATAATAGTAGAACAAGAAGGATCAGACAGTTAGAGACACTCCAAGAACAACAGCAAGAGTTAATTTGTCCATCTTCTTCAATTTCTTCCAAGCAACCGTTCCGTGAGTTAGAAATGGCTGAAGAAGAAACAAATTATGATAGTGGGGCTGAAATAGGTAGACCTCCAAGAAGGACATTGGGTGATTATGCTCTACAACAAGGCCCAAGGCATTTTTCTAGTATTGTAGCTCCTACTGCTTCCAGAGCCATGGAATTGAAACTAGCTTTCCTCAGCTTAGTTAGCTCACAACAGTTTACTGGACTTGACCATGAGGATCCATATTCTCATTTGTCTAATTTTTATGAGCTTTGTAGTACAGTGGGTATTCCAGAAGGTGATGAAGATGCTGTTTATTTAAGATTGTTCCCTTTTTCTTTGACAGGCAAAGCTAAAATATGGCTACAATCTCATCCTAATCAAAGTTTGACCAGCTGGAGCGATGTGGAGAACAAATTTGTTAACAGATTTTACCCTTCATCCAAGTATATCAAAGCCAAGGCTAAGATCACTACTTTTAGGCAAAGCATAGATGAGCCATTTTGTGAAGCCTGGGAGAGATTTAAATCATTGCTCAGAAAATGTCCTAACCATGGGTTTGAAGATATAGCACAACTGAACTTCTTTTGCAATGAAATCAAACCTGAAGTGAAGATGTTGTTAGATGCAGCAGCTGGTGGTACTATGATGTCTGCAGATCCTGATGAAGCCATGCAGATTATTGAGTCATTAGCATCCTCTGATCAACAAGCACAACATGGAAGACATTAATCTCAAAGAAGAGGAATCATTGAGTTGAACACTCATGATGCTATTCTTGCTCAGAATAAGTTGCTAACCCAGCAGATTGAAGCCTTGACAAAACAAATGGCTAAGCTGCCACAACAACTCCATGCCATACAATCCCCCTAACTTAAGTGTGATTTCTGTGGAGGAGATCATCCAAATGGGTTCTGTTCAGAAACTACCAATGAAGAGGAAGTCAATTATATGGGTAATCAACCAAGAGGAGGATATTTTAATTCCCAGAATTTGAATGCTAATAATTTCATGCAGGGAAATCAAGGCTGGAGAAATAATGCTAATAACAACCAAGGTTTTGGATGGAGAAATGAAGCAAAAACCTCCAATAGATCTCCACAACAACAGCAACAAGCTTCTTATC